CCTGGAATACATTATAGTTCCTTGAAAAAAAAAAACATCTAAGATTCTCATCATCATTCTTCAAAATGACTGTGCCCTGGAAATCTAGTCCAGTCGATAGGTCTTGAAATTATTTAAAGGTACAAAAAGTTATTTTTTTTCGAACCGAAGAAGAAGTATATTTTTTTCTAAACAAGTTGTCATCGTAATTGACAGGCATTTCCCGGTGACTTCGAACCTCGGTTCACTGGTCACCCTGAATTTGTGTTCCGTTAACTCAAATTTGCAAAAACACAGGTCACTCATAGACCGAGTAAGATTTTCATAGATTTTCTTCAAATATCAAATATCAAATAGAAAAATATGACTCAGTCTACTCAGTCTTCTGGGTACTGCGGAGGGGATCGATTTTTCATGTCTAAAGCTTTTTTGCTCTTTCTCAGTTGATTCTCGACAAATGCTCTGAGCCAGCCATACAGGTTTCGCCAAAGTTTGTTTTCCAGCAATTCAAAACTCAGCTGATTCATAAAAGCTGTGCTGATTTTTAAACTTGCCTCACTGAGCCTGTTGGATTTTGCCTTTGAGCTTAAAATTAAGAATGCGTTTTGAAAAAGTATGGATAATTTTTATGAGATAACAATGCTTGTCGGTAGATAAGAACAGTAACAGCATTTGTTCCTTGTGGATGTTTCACTCCCGTTAAACAGTTCATACTGGCTCCCAAGTGACAAGCACATGGACGAGTGCACCGATGAATTTGAGTTCACTCACTCGAGAAAAAGTGACACAAGCTGCGAGCAATGTTTACTAATCATGAACACTAAATGTTCATTATTCATTATTTAGTGTTCATTATTAGTAAACATTGCCCGCAGCATGTGTCACTTTTTCTCGAGTGAGTGAACTCAAATCCATCGGTGCACTCGTCCATTGAGTGAGTCAGCAGTACCCAGACTCATCAAGATCGGCTCTTCTTGCTTTCTGACAAACGTCAGTTTGATCGTTTGTTTTTAAAACCTACCTCAGGTTGAGGCTCGCACGGAAGAAAAGTTCGGTTTCACACTGTGTTGGAACTGGTTCCAACCCCGATAATAAACAAATTCGCTATATATTTGGTATTTTCGGCATTCAGTCTCAAATAAATTGCATTGAAAAGTTTCTGACTGAAGTTGAACGATTGTTCTGTGTGATTTAGATGCGATAAATGAAAGAAGATTTTTCAAACAACTAGGATTAAGATTTAGATGTGACGCGAAAGTAGCTGTGTGAGGCAAACTCGAATTCATGTCTGTTCAGGTGATAAATCTTTCATAACAAAAATGGTTGAAAATATGCCAGCACATTTGCCCCAGTGCAGAACGATTGGGGCTTGAAATATTTCAACTTCAATTTCAATCAAAACAAAACCACATGATTCAAGGAGACAGATGAGTCTTATTGGATAATTTGTGAAAGTTAAGATCCACGTGCAGCAACAATGCTTCCGGATCCAATCCATAGCGGCAAAGTGACTAGCTAAATCTATGGTCCATCTGTAAGATTAGCCGCAAGTGAGCTCAAAGTTGGGTTTTGCGATTTTCTACATATTCGGGTTGATTTTTAGCGTGCTCCTAACTATACAGCGTTGCCAGATATAGAACTTTTTGGCGTTTGAGCGGCGGACCCTAATGCTATTTTGGGGCTACTCAGGGACTGAGGTGATCGCACTCATTTTTAGATGCTGTGTACAAATGAAGGGACCGCTGAATACATCGAGTTATAGAGAGTTGGCTGTATTTAAATACAAGTTTAAGCTCGAGTTCGATTGCTCAGTCAAAAGCAGAAATCCACTCTCCTTTACTGATCTCCTGGAACCAGGACCAACGGATCCGGCTCCAATGTTGTGCATCGTCGTCAATTATAGCTTCCACCGGTTTGCCATAACAGGAGATGAAGGGGAAATTGTTTCGACAAGCTTTGGTTCATCAGAACGATCGAATTCCACTCAAACCTATTGCCAGAATATAACTACGATAGTTATTGTTCTTCGTATCTGGTTTCTCTGGCAGTTTCCACTTGCTGTCCCAATATTGAAGGACTGTCCACGAAGCAGCCCACAGCCACAAAACACTAGTTGAAGCATGACGATTTTGAGTTCAAAACTCGGTTCAAAGTTCCTGATCTTCCACAATTATTAGTCACCAGCGCATATTCTCTGAAGTCCTCTAAGTAAAACTATGGACGTCTGTTAAAAGTTGTTCCAATCAACCAGTCGTTCATACTATTACTAGAGGGCTTTAATTTTTGACGTAGGATTACGTCTATCGGCAACATATTTTGGGCGCAATTTAAAAAAAAAACAAAATCGACCGCGTTACGAAAAGTGGTCAGGTTTTGACTACGTATAACTCTGTCAATAGCGGATGGATTTTATTTCTAAGCAAACCAATCGATTGGACATTTTTCTACGAATCTGCTAAAATGAAAATTCAATCAATTTTCAATAGGTCACTATTGAAAATTACGCAAATGTCCAACTGTTGCAATGGTGACCAAAATTATCACCGATTGCCGTCAAAACAATGGTTTCCCTAACACAGTCATCGAATCATGATACCGAGCACGTAATCCTAAGTCAAATTTACGGTCGTGTCTGAAATAGAACATCTAACTTTTTTTTTTTTTTTAAAAATCATACACGACCAATAACACCAACCCAAATTTGAGTTCAGTGTGCTCATAAACCGCATAAAGTGCAGAAACTCAGCGCAGAGTATATTTCCTGCGTTTTCCCAGGAAAAAAAAACCCGAATATGAGAAAAGTCAAGATTTGATTCACTCAGTCTATTGGTACTACTTCTAGATGGAGTAAAATTTTCGTAAATTTTCCCTATTTTCCGGAAGACTTTACGGATCAAATTTACTCATTGCTGAGTTCCTGCACTTTTACATGACATTTTTTCCCCCTATAATTTCTATGACATCGACCACCTCTGAGCGGGACTTTCCGAGCGTTCTGCAAACTTTTCAACCCAAACACAGCTTTGATTGCCATGACGAAGCAATTTAGTTAAAACCGGTGGTTTATGTTTCGATTTAAATCGCATTCCGCCTTCGACTCATCACTCGCCGTGAATCACACAGTTCAACAATTGCCTCTGGTGAAGCATAATTCCAAGAACATTTACCACAACGCTGGAATTGTTGACGGATGTCCGTCATATCAAGTCAGTTAGTTGGTGACAATGACGACCGCTGTTAGAGCCGATGTGTTCTAATGTCAATCAATCTAAATCCAATCGATCAAGCTTTGCTAACCGAAATCAAATTACGGCGCGGTAGACTTCCCGGCCAGACGCAGCGAATCTTATCTAGGATGATTATTTCCCGCAGGTTGGAGACAATTTTGAATTCATGGCATGTGAACCATGACCTCCGTCAACCGAAAACGCTCAACATCCGGGTGCAATACGTCAGTTATATAGACTTGCTCAGATAAACCTATTTCCCTTGTCTTTGTTGGGCAGACACAAAGACTCGCTCTCGCTCCTCTCGACACATGACTGGCACAAATTCCAAGACCCTCTACGGAGACGGAGGAATCATTTATCACCACGAAGTGGTGAAGCAACATCTGATTCCAGCGACAAACGGCTACCAAGCAGTAGTCGAAAATCGTCGTAGAACACTAACTTGATGGACATAAAACATACTGCTGGCTGTAGATCGGGGCTGTGATGTGGTGTAACTGTTTTTCTCATTTCCAATTCCAACCAACTATCGTTCTGTGTGTCGACCACATGTGCGACGAACGACGACGACGACGACGACGACAACAACGGATAGTGAATGTACAGTAAATGAGTAAATTAGGAAACTGTGGGCGTGCGACGACGAGAGTTGAATGAATCGCGACCATTCAGTTCTGATCCAGTCATTAGTGCCCAACGGCTTCTGTTCCAGTCGTAGAACATCAGGCGGCAGTGAACGACGGACAACCTCAATATTCAGCGCCACACTTCTTCACGCAGTGAAGGGAAAGCGATGACCTTTCTTCTTGCACGCTGAGATAACGAACGTTCTGCTGTAGTAAGTCGAAATGGTTCTGTGAAGTGCGATTAGAACGCGTTTTGCGGTGAAGTTAAATAATACGGAGGTTACGTAACGAACGTGATCGACGCTCATTAGCCTAACTAATTGCGGAATCGACGGCGGTTGACGGTTCGGTTAATTGTCGGTTATTGTTTACACCCGCCGCGTATTGATCGCATATGGGATCGTCACTGAATGACCGCAGTGCAGTTGTCGCATATACACCGACACAGCTACGGATCGCAAATCCAGCTTTGCATAAACCCGTTTTCCACTATTCATCAAGCACAATCAACGAGAAAATTGCAAACTGAAGTGCACTTGGGTGTGACCGCGCGTCCACGTTGTTAGCCGCGCACACAATACAAAGCACAGCCAGCGAAGCGCAATTTTGCGGCTAACCCGTGTCGAACTAAAACAAAACATAATGCCAGGTGATGATAAGAACGACGGCGACAGTTGGCGTGTGCAGCGGCGGTCCTCCACTTACGAGTACGAGAGATACAGGACAAATGGATTTGACATTGAAGAGATCTAAGTGCGCGCCCGTAGACGAAGGGACACTCGGACCGACTCGTTTCGAATCGGATCATCTCGCGGAGAACAATGCCAGTTTAAATCAACAAATATCACATGAATAAGATATCCAATCTCCGGTTGTTTGCCGTGGTTTATTGCCGTGGATTAGTGAAGCAAGTGATTCGGGAAACGGTGAAAAGTGTGCGAAAGCTCCGCAAGCATCTACGATCAATCATCTACCGTATGAAAAGGACTGACCTCCAATTAGGGCCGGATCACATAAATCAGGCACGCTGTCGACGGGTGTTAATAGGCTATAATTAAGAAGAGAAGTGCTGGCCTCAACTGCAACTCAGTGCGACGGCAACAAACGTGCTGGTATCGTATGTGTCTTCCCGATTTCTAACGACTACCTTTTACGATCATTCCAGAGTCGAGATCATCGGGGACCCATAGCGCACAAGGTACCACCATCACCACAACGTAACAACCATGGCTGTGTTCGGATTGGTCTCGTCGGTGGCCGGCTTCATCAAAGTCCGGTACCTCATCGACAAGGCCATCATCGATAATATGGTGTTCCGGTGCCACTACCGGTTAACCAGTGCAGTGCTATTTCTCTGCTGTGTGCTCGTGACGGCAAACAATCTTATTGGTGAGTTCGAATTGATTGTGCCAACAACGTCAGAATGATTTTTTTTAACACTCGCTGCTTTCAGGTGATCCAATTTCCTGCATCAACGACGGCGCCATTCCCGGTCACGTGATTAACACGTACTGCTGGATTACGTACACTTTCACGCTGCCCGGTCAGCACGGACGCCCGGTGGGCACGTCCGTTGCCCACTCAGGCCTTGGAAACGAGTTCAACCAGGAGCGAACGTACCACAGCTACTATCAGTGGGTGCCGTTCATGCTGTTCTTCCAGGGTCTTCTATTCTACATGCCCCACTGGATCTGGAAGAACTGGGAAGAGGGCAAGATGCGCCTGATCTCCGATGGACTGCGCGGTGCCATGACTCTCGGTCCGGAAGAGCGCAAGGGACGCCAGGGACGGTTGGTCAAGTACCTGCACGAAAGCATGAAGACCCACAATACCTACTCGTTCGGTTACTTCATCAGCGAAGCACTCAACTTCATCAATGTCGTGAGTATCTCTATGGTCCGTTCAAGAATCGAACGAACTCTAAGCTCCTAAACTCATTCCAGGTCGGCAACATCTTCTTTGTGGACAAGTTCCTCGGTGGTGCATTCTTGACCTACGGCTCGGATGTGCTCAAATTCAGTGGCATGGACCAGGAGAACCGCTCGGATCCTATGATTGAGGTCGGTATGGCCCCTTTCAACCGGTCTTCAACTTGCTAAATCCCGTAAATCCCCATTTTCAGATCTTCCCTCGCGTGACCAAGTGTACATTCCACAAGTACGGAGCTTCCGGGAGCATCCAGAAGCACGATGCCCTCTGCGTCCTGGCGTTGAACATCCTGAATGAGAAGATCTATATCTTCCTATGGTACGATCGCAAATGATCCTTGCTTCTCCACCTTGCTCTAAATTCGCACCATTCTTCCATCCCAGGTTCTGGTTCATCATCCTCTCGGTTCTATCCGGTCTGGCCATTCTCTATTCGGCGGCCATCGTCATGATGCCGACGACTCGCGAAGCCGTCCTCAAGCGTCGCTTCCGCTCGGCCACTGCCCTTCAGATCGAGAACCTCATCCGCCGGATCCAGATCGGGGACTTCCTGATGATACACCTGCTCGGGCAGAACATCAACGTGACGTCCTATTGCGAGGTGCTGCACTCCCTGATGACTCAACTGGACGAGGATCAACCGGGTGACACACCGTCCGCTCCGTCGACCCTAGAAATGGCTCCCATATATCCGGAAATTGGAAAATACGGTAAAGACACTGCAATCTGAAACCCCCCCTTTTTTGGCCATGTAACAATCTGTTTCAAAATTCCCGGTATTTTCCGATTTCCACAGACAAGGAAAAGGCAGTGCTGCATCAGGAATACGAAGCATAAAACATCCACACGCCACAGGTAGACAGAGATAGCGAGTGCGCGCACGCGCGACAGAAAGAGAAAGAGCATAGGAGAGCTGTGTTTAGAACGTTAGAAGAAGAAGAAGGAAGCGAGAGAAAGACAGGAAACGCGGACGCAGGAGGAAACCGGAGTGAAAGGACCTGAGCGATTGAGAAAGCTAGAGAGATAGAGAGTGCGAGCGAACGAATGATTTTTAAGAAGCTACATTCCGGAGGGAGGAAACATACTCGGCCGCCTACGGAATTGCCCACCAGACGACGAGTGTGCGAGCGAATGTGTTTTTGGTTTGGGAAAATCTCATCTCAGAAGTGTCTGGTCTGTTGTCCGAGCACACGACTAGTGTGCAGAAGAAGTGCAGGGAGATAGCGAAAGCGAGAGAGAGAGAGAGAGAGAAAGAGAGAGAGAGCAATGAGTTTTTTTTGTTTTTAATATACGCCGGAGCCGAATTTTTTGCGGTTCTAGATAGAATTCAGAGACGAGGAGCTAAATATATACATATTTGTATTTTAATCTGTAGGATTTTTAGGCAAGTAACGGAGCATTTTACGTGCACGATTTCTCCCGGGAAGCCGAAAGCGGAAAACTGTCAAAATTGAATCGTCAATTGAGGAATCTTTGCAAATGAGAAGACTGTCTCTTTTTAAAGAAAAAAAAACACTATTTAAAAAACACGTTCAGGAAGTCAACATTCGAAACTATTTTAAATTTTAGCGTGTATCTATCGAATCAAAAGCATACCTATTTTTTCTAGGATTTTAAACTCAAAAAAAAATGAAAGGCATAGTATTATTCCAGCAAAAAAAAAACGGCCAATCGCAATCAGTGATAGTTAGGGGCGTTAACACTATCTCAAAAAAAACCGAATACTTTATTATACAAGAGGAAAACGAATTGCCATAAATTGTAAGACACACCAACACACACAAACACACGCAAACACAATAGACTAGAAGAGAAAGAAGCAAAAAGAAATACACAAGGAGCGAAAGAGAACACATGAGTGAGAAGAATCAAGTGCAACAACAGCAACAAAATGTAGTGCTCAAATATAGTTCAGATTTTAGAAACAACGCGCATTTAGCTTCCGATTTCGAAAAAAAAACTCACACTCATCATCTTCCACAATCAATTCGAAACAGAAGAATACTATGTACCGAGAACTTGTTTCCCATTTTTGTCATTCCTCAAATTTGTCTCAGCCACAACCTTCATTCTTCATTTTTTTTTTAGTAGATAGAACAATTTTAACTAAACGAGAATAAACGGAAAAAAAGCTGCCTTATAGAGAGAGAGCGTCGTCGTGAACTAATTTTACTAAAAACGAGAAAAACAAAAAAAATAAAAGCGCAAAAAAAGTGGAAAACTTTCATCTCATTAGAACTAAGGAGGAAAAAGTGGAGCAATTTTTTTTTTTTTTCGTTTAGAAACGTCGTCACACAGAATCTTTGATTGATTAGCAAGTAGAAACCGGGATTTTCTCGTATTTTTTTTTGCAGAGTTCGACAGTAGTATGAGTGAGATGCACGGACACAGAGTACAGATTTTACAGATTTCTTCCAATCAAAATGACAATCAAATAGTGCATGCAGATCATATAATTCCTTTTTGTCGACTTAGAAACGTTAATTCCACATACAATTACATGATTTTGTTTCATAATCGAGCTAGCCATTTATATCAGTAAAAGACATACATACAACAGAACACTCGAAACGAAATGCTACTCTTATCAAACTTGCAAAATAAGGAGAAATTTTATTGTGATAAGCTTGAAATTTAGAGGAAATAAAACAGTTTTATAAGACTTGTGAATTTGTTTGATTGGTTGTCCGAAAAAAAAAAATCCCGGCGAAATGACGCAGAAAATTAGAAATGTTCCCATCAGTACCTCATCTGTTTCGGTGCTTATCTGTGCCGTTGAAAAGTTTCCGCCTATCGCGCTGACGCGCATCTAGCATACAAGTTGCATAAGCAAAGGCGCTCTACTTGTTTTTTTTTGTTTTGCGCAGACGAGAGTCGATTGCGGTGCTTCGATTCAAGATTTTTCGACAATATATTGAAATTAGACAAATGCGTAAATGGTAAAATGGTAGCAGGATTGGCTGCGAAATACCAAGAGGATGTAAACTTGGAAATGCTCCTTTTACGACCTATTTGGTAACCATTACGTTGCAATCGTTAAAACCCAAACGCAATGTGGGCGGAGGCGGAACGGAAACGGGAAGTTTGACAGTTGTCTGAAACTATTGAGGAGCATTTTCGACGCACGGGAATTTCGAAGTTCGAGGAATTTCTGCGAACTTTCGGGGTTTCCTGCAAATTTAAAGGAATTTCTGTGTGCTTCAGAAAAGTTCAGAAAGCTTTTCTTCAAACTTCAAGGAACCTGAGGCAATTTTGCGAACTTCAGAGAATTTCTGTGAACATCAGAATTTCTGTGAACACATTTTGCATACATCTGTAAACTTCATGGAACTTTTGCGAACTTCGAGTAATTTCCGCAAATTTCAGGGAATTTCTGTTTTGCAAACTGCAGAGAAGTTCTACAAAATTTTGGAAATTTCTGCAAACTTCAGGGAATTACTGCAAACATTAAAGAATTTCTACGAACTTCAGGGAACTTGAGGTAATTTTGCAAACTTCAAAGAATTTCTGAGAACTTCCGGGAATTTCTGAAAACTTACGATCTTCAAGGAATTGCTGCGAACTTAAAATTTATGTTTGCAAACCTCAGAGATGTCCTTCAAACTTGAAGGATGCTCTGCAAACTTGGGGGAATTTCTGCAAACTTCAGGAAATTTCTGCAAACTTCAAAGAATTTCAGCGAACTTCAAGGGATATCTGGAACTTCAGAGAACATAAGGCAATTTCTACAAACTCCAAAGAATTTCTGCCAACTTCAGAAAATTTCTGCAGCTTTGAGAGATGTTCTGCAAGCTTCCGGAAATTTGTGCAAATTTCAGGGAATTTCTGCTAACGTCAAAAAATTCCTGCGAGCTACAAAAACAATCTGTAAACTTCAGAGCATACAGCAGACAAATTCTACGAAATATAGGAATTTCTACGAACATCAGAGAACTCAGCAAACATTAAAGAATTTCTGTGAACTTCCAGGAATTTCGGCAAACTTCAGGAAATTTCTGCAAACTTCATAGAATTTCTGCCAACGTCATAGAATTTCTGCGAATTTCAGAGAACTTCTGTGAACCTTAAGGAATTTGAAGGATGTTCTGCAACTTCCGGGATTTTTTGCGAATTTTACAGCTATTCTACAAGCTTCCGGAAATTTGTGCAAATTTCAGCGAATTTCTGCTAACTTCAAAGAATTCCTGCGAGCTTCAAAAAATTTCTGTGAACTTCAGGAAAGTTCTGCGAACCGCAGACAAGTTCTACGAAATATAGGTAATTTCTACGAACATAAGGGAACTCTGCAAACATTAATGATTTTTTGTAAACTTCCAGGAATTTCGGCAAACTTCAGGAAATTTCAGCAAACTTCAAAGAATTTCAGCGAATTTCAAAGGATTTCTGTGAACTTCAAAGAATATGAGACAATTTCTACGAACTCCAAAGAATTTCTGCAAACTTCATAAAATTTCTGCAAATTTGAGAGATGTCCTGCAAACTTCCGGGAGTTTGTGCAAATTTCAGGGAATTTCTGCTAACTTCAAGAATTCCTGCGAGCTTCAAACAATTTCTGTGAACTTCAGGGAAGTTCTGCGAACTGCAGAGAATTTCTGCAAACTTCAAAGTGTTTCTGCGAACTTCAGAGTACACGAGGCATTTTTACGAACTCCAAAGAATTTCTGCAAACTTCAGAAAATTTCGGCAAATTTGAGATATGTTCAGCAAACTTCCGGAAATTTGTGAAAATTCCAGGGAATTTCTGCTAACTTCAAAGAATTCCTGCGAACTTCAAAAAATTTCTGAGAACATCAGGGAAGTTTAGCAAACTGCAGACAAGTTCTACGAAATATAGGGAATTTCTACGAACATCAGGGAACTCAGCAAAGAATTTCTGTGAACTTCCGGGAATATCGGAAAACTTCAGGAAATTTCTGCAAACTTCACAGAATTTCTGCGAGCTTCAAAGTGTTTCTGCGAACTGCAGAGAACACGAGGCAATTTATACGAATGCCAGAGAACTTCTGTGAACCTAAAGGAATTTGAAGGATGTTCTGCAAACTTCCGGGAGTTTGTGCGAGTCTTACCGATGTTCTGCAAGCTTCCGGAAATTTGTGCAAATTTCAGCGAATTTCTGCAAACTTCAAAGAATTCCTGTGATCTTCTAAAAATTTATGTGAACATCAGGGAAGTTCTGCGAACTGCAGACAAGTTCTACGAAATATAGGGAATTTCTACGAACATCAGAGAATTCAGCAAACATTAAAGAATTTCTGTGAACTCCCAGGAGTTTCGGCAAACTTCAGGAAATTTCTGCAAACTTCACAGAATTTCTGCGAACTTCAAAGTGTTTCTGCGAACTTCAAGAACACGAGGCATTTTCTACGAACGCCAGAGAATTTTTGTGAACCTTAAGAAATTTGAAGGATGTTCTGCAAACTTCCGGGAATTTGTGCGAATTTTAAAGATGTTCTGCAAGCTTCCGGAAATTTGTGAAAATTCCAGGGAATTTCTGCTAACTTCAAAGAATTCCTGCGAGCTTCAAAAAAATTCTGAGAACGTTAGGGAAGTTCTGCGAACTGCAGACAGGTTCTACGAAATAAAGGGAATTTCTACGAACATCAGGGAACTCAGCAAACATTAAAGAATTTCTGTGAACTTCCAGGAATTTCGGCAAACTTCAAAGAATTTCAGCGAACTTCAAAGGATTTCTGTGAACTTCAGAGAACATGAGGCATGTTTACGAACTTTAAAGAATGTCTGCAAACTTCAGAAAATTTCTGCAAATTTGAGAGATGTTCTGCAAACTTCCGGGAATTTGTGCAAATTTCAGGGAATTTCTGCTAACTTCAAAGAATACCTGCGAGCTTCAAAAAATTTATGTAAACTTCAGGAAAGATTTGCAAACAGCAGAGAAGTTCTACGAAATAAAGGGAATTTCTACGAACATCAGGGAACTCAGCAAACATTAAAGAATTTCTGTGAACTCCCAGGAATTTCGGCAAACTTCAGGAAATTTCTGCAAACTTCATAGAATTTCAGCGAACTTCAGAGAACACGAGGCAATTTATACGAACGCCAGAGAACTTCTGTGAACCTAAAGGAATTTGAAAGGATGTTCTGCAAACTTCCGGGAATTTTTGCGAATTTTACAGATGTTCTGCAAGCTTCTGGAAATTTGTGCAAATTTCAGGGAATTTCTGCTAACTTCAAAGAATTTCTGCGAGCTTCAAAAAATTGCTGTGAACTTCAGGGAAGTTCTGCGAACTGCAGACAAGTTCTACTAAATATAGGGAATTTCTACGAACATCAGGGAACTCAGCAAACATTTAAGAATTTCTGTGAACTTCCGGGAATTTCGGCAAACTTCAGGAAATTTCTGCAAACTTCATAGAATTTCTGCGAACTTCAAAGTGTTTCTGCGAACTTTAGAGAACACGATGCAATTTATACGAACGCCAGAGAATTTCTGTGAACCTTAAGGAAACTTCTGGGAGTTTGTGCAAATTTCAGGGAATTTCTGCTAACTTCAAAGAATTCCTGCGAGCTTCAAAAAATTTCTGTAAACTTCAGGGAAGTTCTGCAAACAGCAGAGAAGTTCTACGAGTATAGAGAATTTCTACGAACATCAGGGAACTCAACAAACATTAAAGAATTTTTGTGAACTTCCAGGAATTTCGGCAAACTTCAGGAAATTTCTGCAAACTTCAGGAAATTTCTGCAAACTTCAAAGAATTTCAGCGAACTTCAAAGGATTTCTGTGAACTTCAGAGAACACGAGGCAATTTTTACGAACTCCAAAGAAATTCTGCAAACTTCAGAAAATTTCTGCAAATTTCAGAGATGTTCTGCAGACTTCCGGAAATGTGTGCAAATTTGAGGAACATTCTGCTAACTTCAAAGAAATCCTGCGAGCTTCAAAAAAATTATTTAAACTTCAAGGTATTTCTGCAAACAGCAGAGAAGTTCAAAGAAATAAAGGTAATTTCTACGAACATCAGAGAATTCAGCAAACATTAAAGAATTTCTGTGAACTCCCAGGAGTTTCGGCAAACTTCAGGAAATTTCTGCAAACTCACAGAATTTCTCTGAACATCAAAGTGTTTTTGCGAACTTTAGAGAACACGAGGCAATTTATACGAACGCCAGAGAACTTCTGTGAACCTAAAGGAATTTGAAAGGATGTTCTGCAAACTTCCGGGATTTTTTGCGAATTTGACAGATGTTCTGCAAGCTTCTGGGAATTTGTGCAAATTTCAGGGAATTTCTGCTAACTTCAAAGAATTTCTGAAAGCATCAAAAAATGTCTATGAACTTCAGGGAAGTGAAGTTCTGCGAACTGCAGACAAGTTCTAAGTGAATTCCAAGCGAGGAAGTATTCATCCATGCCTTCGGTATGCGAGAAGATGTGGATTCTCAACAACGACCATGTTCATAACAAGCGTGGGTTAGCCGGGGTGGTCATGAGTCTACCGCTGGCGACAATGGGCTGACTTACTTCAGCAGCTGGATCTACTACTCATACTCATGCTGGATCTACTACTCATACTCATACCGCGATGCTATTTCCATTCATCGAAAGACCTCGCTCGCAAGCGAAACTGCCTATGCCTGTGCAGTATACTTCCGTTTGGAAACCGATCGTGGTGCAGAGCGTTTCTGGGCATCCGTTTGATGGAAACTATCCAGTCAGTCGGCGCCACTGCTGGAGTGATGCAAGCACTGTTCTCGAGTGGCTGCGCTCAACAGACCATCGTCGTTACCACAGTTTTGTGCCTTTCGGGTTGACGAAATCCTGTCATCTACACAACACTCAGAGTGGCGTTGGTGGCCCGTAGGTGACAATGGACAATCCCTGGTTCCGAGGACCGGCCTTCCTATACGATTCAGGAGAACACTGGCCTAAACAGCGAACGGTTACTCCAACTGAAGAAGTACTCCGTCCTATACATTTTCACGCCGTCCACTTTGCTCCAGCTATGGTTTTCGATAGATTCGATCGGTGGACTAAAAGGCAGCGCGTGGCAGCGTATGTATTTCGCTGCATTGAGTACTTCCGCAGGCATCGAACAAAACATAATCTGGAATTCAGCAACGTCATCAGCGACGAAGTCCAACCGCCGTAGGCACTTTTTAAGACGGCTCAAAACGAGTTCCGTCACGCCAACCGAGAGACCACTTTCAACGACATTTGCCAACGCTTCGCAATCTCTGCACTGAGACGACTGTCGGATAAAGTCGAACAAGCGTATGCATTCTGCCACCTAACGAAGACGATCCCAAGACCACCAACCAGCGATGGCTCCGCTTCCCGAGATGCGGTTGACAGCTTACATTCAACCCTTAAAATTCACCGGGTTGGACTACTTCGGGCCAGAGCTCGTAAAGGTGGATAGAAGCAACGTAAATCGCTGGATGGCCCTCTTCACATGCCTCATGTGTATTATGACAGTGCAACGTTTCGCAGCACGCAGAGACATACCAAAGGAGTTCTGGACCGCCAACGCCAGACAAACCCAGACGACGAGACATTAGAGACTATCCTCTTGTAAGCGGACGGAATGGTCAACTCCAGACCACTTACCTTCATCGCACGGGAATTTCTAATTCTATTCTCTTTATTGAAACCCAACCATTTTTTGTTGGGCAATTCTTCAAGGAGAAAGATCCTATAAAAACAGTTACAGACTAGCTTATACAGGCAAAAATAAGCTGTATGAGTCAATTTTTGGCTGTACAAGCAAATCTGCAATTAAAATTGGTAGTTGGAATCTGCTAAGAATATTGAATTCTGATTTCTCAATTTATGTTTAAATTCTAGTTTCACATATTCAATTTTTAAAGCATTTGGTCTACAAGAACCAAAGTTAGAGCGGTATTTGGTAAATTTAAGCTTCTTACATAGTAATCCCCAAACAAGCTTCAAACCATTTGCGCGACCTTCATCAATATATACCTTTTTGCACTGACTCATATTTTAGTGCTATGCATCAAACTGGAGGGTGGCCTACAAGATCGCATTTTTTTTTTTCAAAATGAAACACCCTAATGCCAGCCCTAGCATCTAGCGAACTTCGATCAAATTCTTTTACAGTTTCACTTTTTTCTCAGAAAAAATCTTCTATACTGAGCCCCATTTCCTCCCACCGGACACAGATAGCGAACAGACATATCAAAACTTTGAATTCGATTCGGTCTGTCGCGTACGGTGGTAGTATGTTTTCCATCAACAGTCAAGCATCGATGAGTTGATAAATTTACAATCCATTTCCCGCATTCATTCAAATGCTTTTCTACTCACCGATTGCCCCAGTCAATCTTGGAGATCACCTTCATCTGCAGATCGTACGTCTGGTCCTGGGTAAGGGTGGCGCTCAGCAGCTCCCGTCGGCTTTCCAACAGCGCCAGCATCACCTTCCGCAGCGAGGTGAATTTGTATTCCTCCCGTTCCTAGTTCGAAGAGAGGTTAAAAAATTTGCGGCAGCATTAGAATGTTAATCAATCAATCAATCAACGTGCTCCACTCCCTTCATCGTGGTTGAAGTGATTTGATTTAATTTGCATACAATTCCGCACCAGCACGGTACGGATGGATTAGGCACGCGTATACGCGTGCCAAACAAGGTTCTACCACCTATGTACAATACAGGATATTGAAGTGCCTATCTAACTATCTACTTACCACAAACAGTTTCTTCCATATCTCGGACCATTCGCGCAGCACCAGGGTGCACTCGCCGACGACCGGGTCCACCTTGGCCAGGTCTTTCAGATGGATGTACGATTTGGGAAAGAGGCCCACCTTCCGGGGCTTCCGTGGGCACGTCCCCCGAAACCAGTAGGTCGTTTCCTCCAGGATCTCGACGCAGTCGCCGACGTCCAGCGCGAGACCGTGTGTGACTTCGCCGTGCCAGTTGTGGATGGCTGTCGAGTAGGAGAAGGTAGAAGGGAGATTAGAACATTGAATTGCTGCGGGATTATGAAAATTGGAGAACTCTCTTCACTGTGACGGCCCCTGGCAACCCTAATTTTTGCGCCTTCTGAGATTTGCCGACTTCGGTGATGTGTGTGAAGTGTGAACGTTCAAATTCAAATCTCTGTCGAAAGATTTTTCTTGGATTTCGTAGATGAATGATGCTCTTCAAACTTTTCTGGTATTCTTAGAAATTCTTTGATGTCCGCAGGATGTCTCAGAATTTGGCAATTTTTTCCTGGAATTCACAGATATTTATGAAAGTTCCCAGTATTTTACTAATATTATTAGATTTTCCCTGAGGTTCGCAGAACGTCCTTAAATTTTGCAGAACTTCCCTGACGTTTGAAAAAATGTTCTGACGTTTGTAGAACTTTCCTGCACGACCAATTGAGATCGACAAAAATTAGAGTTAAATTTACTCATAAATCGCAAAAATTGCAGTAGTTCAGGAAGAAATTCCCGAATATGAGAAAAGTAAAGATTGGATTCCCTCAGTCTATTAGTTTTAGTACTACTCCAAGACTGAGTAAAATTTTCGTCAATTTTCCTCATATTCCTGCAGATCTTTGAGGTTTTCCACAGTAAAACATGAGGTAAATTTACTCATCGCGGAGTTCCTGCACTTATGGCGATTATGAGTAAACTGAACTATAATTTAGTTTGATCTCATTGGCCGTGTGGCGTTTGCAAGGCTACAGTGAAGTTCATATAAATTTTCTAGAGTTCACAGAACTCTGCTAGTGTTTCCATTTGACAGCCATTTATTGTTTCCCAGGAAACGTGGAAACAGCTGATGGCCTTTCCCGGAAATCGGGAAAAAATTTAGTTCAAAAACCAAAGGAATTTTTGGTTACGACAACCCTTTTGAGTTTCTCTTGACCCAGAAGTCTCATCCCACTTTCCAGTAAAATTTTCATCGGATTTCATCGGAAGCTGCTTTCAGAAGTCATTCTAGCTTCCACGAAAGCTTCTTTTGACTTTCACTGGAAGGTTCATCCAACTTCTTCAGCAGGTTTCTTAAAACCATTGGAAGTTTCTATTCAATCGATTTAAACTACCCCAGAATTTGACTTCCTCTAAGTTTCATCCGACTTCCTTGATTAGTCGCATAGAAATGCCTGCTGATTTCCCCTAAAAAAAATTCCTGGCCTCCTCTGGAAATTTCTCGGAAAATTCCTAGAGCTTCTTCTGAAACATTGCCTAAGATGATCTTCAGATTCCTCTAGAAGATAATCCAAGCTTTCTCCTTGAAAGATTCTTCTGGAGTTTGTTTTCAGATGTTGCCGAAAACGACAGCAGCCATCAGTACCTTTCGATGTGTATCACGCAATCGTCTGTACACTCGATAGCAGCTATTGTCCGATGTTCTTTGTTCATCATCTGCAGTTTGCTCGGTCGATCCTATTGTTATCTCAAAAAATCAGCGGGGCAAAAACATAAAGCAATTATTTTTTGGTCATTAAACCAAATACGTAGATCTACCCAACTACAGTCAAGATTCCTATAGGACATATGCTTACTTAACGATCCTGCGCACCTCCAGGGGTGCAAAAGGGCCTTTGTGAAAGATTTCCATCCTGGGCGATTACTAGCTTTGGCCTTGACTTGTGCCCAAGTCTAATTTCGGTTAACGTTCTTGATTTCACTGTTTAGGCTCCGCCGCCACGAGCCTCTGGGTCTGCCTCTACTGCGATGTCATGCTGGATTCCAGTCCAGTGCTTGCTTGCAGATTTCGTTTCCGCTCCGTCGTAGTGTGTGGCCGACCCACCTCCACTTCCGTTCACGAATTTCTGTCTCTATCGACTTCTGATGGCACAAACGATGAAGCTCGGACTTTGAGATCCAATTGTGGGGCTACCAGGCACGAATTATGTACCGCAGGCATCGGTTGATAAACACCTGCAGCTTCTGAGTGTTCTCCGCCGATACACACCATGTTTCACTGGCGTATAACAGCACAGACTTCACGTTCGAGTTAAAAATTCGGATTTTGGTGCGTCGACTGATCTGATTCGCTCTCCATACATTTCGCAAACTGGCAAAAGCAGCCCTCGCCTTCTTAATCCGTGCACCTATGTCGCTCTTGGTGCCGTCGTCCGACGCTATCTGGCTGCCAAGATATTGGAAGCTTTCGACTTTCTCCACTGCCTGCCCAGCTACCGTGAAATTGGAACGGTTCTCCGTGTTGACATCCAACGATTTGGCCTTGTTGACGTTGATGGTTAGACTTGCTTCAGAGGAGCGTTCCACGAGGTCGTCGAGCTTGTCATCAGCCAAACCGAAGTCGTTGAGATGCTCCATGGTAATAGGCTGCCACAGCAACCCACGGTTCGGTACACGGTCAACGGCTGCAACCATGATCTCGTCGATTACGATGAGGAACAGTAGCGGTGATAATATACATCCTTGCCTTACACCCGCGATTACCCGAACCGGGTCAGGTAAAGCTCCGTTGTGCAACGCTCTGTATGAGAAAGCCTCGTACTGCGCTTCGATGAAGTTGACGATCTTATCAGGGACTCCCTTGCGTCTCAGAGCGCCCCACAAGTTTTCGTGGTTTAGTCGGTCGAAAGCTTTTTCGTAGTCAATGAATACCAAGTACAGGGACTCTTGGAACTCATTGACCTGCTCCAAGATGATGCGGAGCGTGACCATATGGTCCACACAGGATCTTCCATCACGGAATCCTGCCTGCTGTCGTCGGAGAGTCGCGTCGATCTTCTCCTGTATCCGATCGAGGATAACTTTACACAGAACTTTGAGAACAATACACAGTAACATGATGCCTCGCCAGTTGTCACATACAGTTGGATCCCCCTTCTTGGGGGATCCAGTCGGCCGGAAAAGTCGCGGTGTCCCAGATATTGACGAATAGTTGATGCAAAATTTGTGAGGATAGCATGGGGTCAGCTTTGAGCATCTCTGCTGATATGCGGTCGACCCCCGGGGCTTTGTTGGACTTCATACTTCGGATGGCTGCTTCTATCTCCTGCAATGATGGAGCTTCGCCTTGGCGGATCATGCCGAGATGTTGATGGTTGGTTGACCGTTGAAACTTCGAGAAGTTGTTCAAAGTGCTCAAACTAACGTTTCAACTGGTCAGTGGGGTCGGTGAGCAACTGTCCAGTCGCGTCCTTCACAGGCATCCTTGAGTTCATCCTTGCCCCGCTCAGACGTCGTGAAACATCACCATAGGGCATATGGGATTATAGATAATTGGGGACAAACTCTAATTTTAAGGTAATTTTAAGAGATAACTTCCTGGCGTCTTGTGAAAAGTTATTAAAAAGATAGTTGGGAACATTTAGCATCCGGAAAATCACAAGTCTGGTCCTCCGGAAGACTCAAAACATCCGTAAAAGTGGTCAATTCATGTTTTTTTAGAAACCACTCATAGAAGTCTTATCCGAATGGATTCGGAGTTGTGACCCGAATTTGGACCCTGGGGGGACCACGGTATGGTCCACCGGAAGGATCCGGAACATCCGTAAAAGTGATAAATTTATTAAACTGATCTTAGTTGCCAGAAAATGAACCCCCACGATATGATCCTCCGGAAGATCCGGAACATCCGTAAGAGGGGTCAATTCATGAAACTGAACCTAGAGCTCCGTGGATTGTTCGAAACCGCTCTTATATGTCTTATCAGAATTAATTCGGAGTTGTGACCAGAATATGGACCTTGGGGACCACGTATTGGTCCTCGGGAAGATCCGAAACATCCGTAAAAGTGGTCAATTTATGAAACTTATCCTAGAGCTCCGTGGTTTTTGTTACACCACTCATAGACGTTTTATCAGAATGAATTTAGAGATGTGACCCGAATATGAACACAGGGGACCAGGTAATGGTCCTCCGAAAGATCCGAAACATCCGCAAAAGTGGTCAATTTATTAAACTGATCCTGGAGCTCCACGGTTTTATTTTCGAAACCACTCATGAACGTCTAATCGGAATTAATTGGGAGTAGTGACCAAAATATGATTGCTGGAGACCACGATATGGACCACTGTAAGACCCGGAACATCCGCAAAAGTGGTCAATGCATGTAGCTGTTCCTAGAGCTCCGTGTTTTTTCGAAACCACTCATAGACGTCTTATCAGAATGAATTCGGAGTTGTGACCGGAATTTTGACCCTGGAGCCCACGAGATGGTCCACCGAAAGATTCGGAACATCCGTAAAAGGGGTCAATTAATCAAATTGATCCTAGAGCTCCGCGGATTTTTCAAAAGCACTCATATACGACTTATCAGAATGAATTCAGAGTTGTAACCGGAGTATGGACTCTGGGGACCACGGGATGGTTCACTGGAACATCCGGGATATCTGTAAAAGTGGCCAATTAATGAAACTGATCCTGGAACACCGTGGTTTTCGAAAGCACTCATAGATGTCTTATCAGAATTAATTCGGAGTTGTGACCGAAATATGGACTCTGGGCACCACGGGATGGTTCGCTGGAACACCCGGAACATTCGTAAAAGTGGTCAATTCATGAAACTGATCCAAGTGCTCCACTGTGTTTTCGAAACCTCTCATAGACGTCTTATCAAAATGAATTCAAAGTTATGACCGGAATATGGTACCTGGGGACCATGGGATGGTCCACCGAAAGATCCAGAACATCCGTAAAAGGGGTCAATTAATGAAACTGATCCTAGAGCTCCGCGGATTTTTCAAAAGCACTCGAATGCTAATTTTCAGAATGAATTCAGAGTTGTAACCAGAATATCGACTCTGGGGACCACGGGATGGTCCACCGAAAGATCTGGATCATCCTTAAAAGTGGTCAATTCATGAAACTGATCCTAGAGCTCCGTGGAATTTTTCGAACCACTCATAGACGTCTTATCAGAATGAATTCGGAGTTGTGACCGGAATATGGACTCTGGGGACCACGGGATGGTTCACTGGAACATCCGGATCATCCATAAAATTTGTCAATT